GGCCAGGAGCCCCTAGTAGCATCCTTGCTCCTAGTAGAAATGCCAGGAGCTACTAATAGCTTCTTGTTACTAGTAGCGACGCCCTTTGTCCTTGCTCGACAGGACTTTTGCTTGACATGCCGCCGCCTTGGAGTGAAGGAGGTGAGGTGGCTTCGATTTTGTGGCTGTAGACTATTGCGTAGACTATTGGACTTCGGGCTAAGTGAGCTGAGAGGTAGCGTCCATTTGGCGGCAATTCCTGCATGGCACCAAGAAGGATCTCATAACCCTTGAGGCACTTCGGAACGCATTGAGACAGCATGATACAAAGCATGGACCATGGCAATGGCCAGGGCCTAGGGAGTACAAAAAGACAGGCACACCTTTAGAAGGTCTCAAACACAACCTTTTGTGTCCGCATCTTGTTGTTCACTCCGTAGGCATTGCCATAACAAAGCAGCAAATCATATGAGCTCCCATAAGATGCAGGTGTTGGACACTGAGACAGCTGACGCTTGGTCTGAACTGTATCAACTCCTTCTCAAGGCCGCGTTTTTTGATTGCAAGACTGATTGCTTTCTGCAACACGTCTTTGACTTGTTTCAGTTGATTCTACAATAATCATTGCATTCGCCTGGACTTCCTAGCACTTTCAGTTCTTTGTTCTTGGAGGCATCGGAGCGCAAAGGGCGGCCGTGTCATGCAAATAGCGAAGCTGGTGAAGCTGATGCTGACAAGCCTTACCCTCAGGGCACCTCAGAGCTGACTCAAAAGTGCTGCGATCAAATAGTGCCAAGACACTAGGCACGAAAGACAGATAAGTTGCGATGCGTTATCTAAAGATTGAATTGCAAAGAAGCCTTGCACTTGCACACCCACTATTGTCAATGCATGCTCCTGATAGGGACACCAGTGGCCCTGTGACAAAGCCAAGCTTGAAGGATTGGATGGGGGACTTGGAAGTGTGCTGGAGCATGTATTCTCCAGGTGCTGAATTGATCAAGCAAGCTCTCAGTCTCTAGCAGTCCAAAGTATCCTCCGTCAGTAGCATCTTTTTTATTTTCCACAGGATGGAACATCACAACTCATCATTGAAGGATGGATGGCGAAAAACTTTCGATCATGGCAACATCCGGCGAGTCGAGAGGCCGTGCTCAGAGATACCCAAACGATTCCGTCACACCAAGCGCCTTTATTTTGCCAGGCCCCGGTTTTACGAAGGCTGCAAAAAGCTTGGCTACTCCAAGGACGACTTACTGTAAGTCGCTTTCGTTGGCTTTCTATTGCTTTCTCTTTGATTTGTTTGGCAGGACCCTGGCCGGTTATTTGATCTCCTCCGACCCGAGCCTTTTCGAGAGTACCTAGTTTACGAGGCCGCTTTTGGCAAGTTGCTGCGGAGATGCTCCGAGTGATTCTTATAGTTCAGCTCTTACACAGGATTTTGTGACGGATTTGAACCCCAACAAGTTTGACGTGAAAGCTGCTGTCAAGGACAGGACACACGCACGCACGATTGTAGCCAGTGGATCTGTACTAGTCCTCACCTTGGACGTCACCCTCAACTCAACAGTCGTTGCAAGGACGCTTTAGTAATAAATCAATAATGATTAAACTTTAATACAACAGAATACAACAATGCTGTCATAATACATCATAATACGTTTCAATGACAATTACGTCATGAGGCTCGCATCAGGGAATACGCTTAACCGTCCCCCGTCCCCTGACGGAAGCAAGGTCTGGGAACAATCTCGCTTTCACGCGCTTTCACGCGCTTGCTTTCTTGAGGTTTCCCGTTTCCCTCCTAGAGAAGCCCCTAGTAGTTCCTAGTAGTAAGGCCAGGAGCCCCTAGTAGCATCCTTGCTCCTAGTAGTTTCCCTCCTAGGACACCTATTTGCCGATGAAGCTTGCGGCTACAGAGGAGGCGCGGCCCAGCTCTGGCTCTTGTTGGCACAGTCCCATAGTGTAGATTTTGATTGCAAGGCACACCAAAACATTTAGCACACTGTTTGTAGTACATGTTGTAAACATTGTAAACAGTGTAACACTGTTGTAATTGTAAAGCAAGCTGTCTTGACGTTGCTGTAAAGTCAATCAGTCAAACTCAAACACCTTTTAGACCCTCGGCTTTGCTGCATGTCAGGCAACATTGCGCTCAAAGCGCGAGTTACAGCAGCCAAGTGGCTAAATTGAATGCAATCTTCATCTCGGTTTCACCCGGCAACAAAGTTGCAGCTAGATTTTACGCTAGATAAGAAAAACCACTGTAGTGGGTTTGCACTGGATCGCAACATCACCCCACCTTCTTGATTCTACTTTGATTCTTGAACTGCCAACAACTCTTCTTGTGAGCTCAGCCTTGTCCGCCAAGCGACTGCTGAATCTGCTTCAGCGTTTGGACCGGATTGCAACTTGAATGGGAATGAAACGAATCAAGCGAGAACAGACCGGAACAGACACCAAGACAGACACCTGCCTAGAAGCCATTAGAAGCCTCACCCACTGCGATGCTCTCAACAGCATCCTGGAGGAGCCTAACATTTCAAATGTGTGAACGGCCCCATTTGCAATGGCGGTTGTGCACCGGTATCGCTGCATTTGCAGGTGGTAGATGCCTTGGATTCAGAGCAGAGTTGGTTTGCTTTGTACTGTACCAATGCTCGTCATTGAGCCCGGTCCTTTTTCATCTCCTTTGTGTACCCATAAGGCCTTGCCTTTTCCGGACCTGGCAGCATGGGCCTGACGCTTTGATCTGCTTCACCCGTGTGAGTTGCAAGCTGCAAATTGCAGTTTGACAGCAAGGCCTTTGGATTGGGTCATCAAGTCCGCGCATTCCCCTGCAGTCAGGAGCTCACAACAATTTGGGACGTTTGGCAGATGCTCAGCCATAGTACATGCAAAAGCTAAGGCGGTTCCCAACACGTAGTGATGTCGCAGGCTAAACTGCTCAAAGTGATTCCAAGGGCTTTTTAATATACAGTATTTTAGTATTTTACATGCATTTTTTGGAAACTTGACCCTTGTCAAGGGCTTCAGCACTTGCGTCGTGCAGAACAATCCCAGAAGAAGGACACCTGCTGAAGATTTACATGGATGCATCAGTAGTTGCCATTGCCATTGTCGCTCCAATTGAAACTTGAAACAGTTCGATTCAACCAAATGCCTTGATATAGGTTAGTTAGTGTTTGGTTGCTGTTGGCTGCTGCAGGATCGAAAGGTGTGGAGACTGTTCCCATTCAGGTCGGGCGGGAAACATTTTGCCATGCTTTGTTTTGTGGAGCGTTTCTTTTCCATGGGTTGCTGCCTCCAATTTGTTCGAACTTCTGTGTGAAGTTGCCAGGAAGATCCGGCCTTTTCGAAGATTGCCAAAGCCGAATCGGGGCACTTGGTTTGAAACTCGGGATGAACATGTTTTAAGGATTTCATAGGATTACAATACTCCCAGGTTTGCTTTGTCTATGCTGGTCTTCTTTGTGCTCACAGTGTGTGGCTTACAGGGCATTCATTTATGGCTGCGCAAGAAAATCTAAAGTTGCCTGGCAGGATTGTCAACAAAGCATACAAACCCAGTCCCAGAGTTTATATAGCTGTACACGGATCCCCCAATCCCCCAGACTTTCAAGTTTTGTGCTTTCGGCATGATAAGGTTCTTCGCCACAGGAGAGCCGACAACAAAATTCATGAGGTTGGCGTGGGTGAGTGCTTGTTGAAAGTAGAAAGCAGATTCCTACAGCTCAGGGACGGTCAGGAGGATTACATAAGCCGTTGCTAAGGTGACCATCAGTTGTTTGTTGGACATCCTGGAGGAACAGAAAGTGGGAACCAGACAGGCGAGGAAGCAAGGCAACATGGTGATTTCATCCGACTCACAGGGAGGTCATGAGGATTCACGAGGTCAGGTGGCGACGAAGCAAGTTTAATTGCCGCTGCAACGAAGGCAGTTGTTGGAGCTTCCCAGTGCGCTTTGAGCCGAGACAGAACGTTTCACACGTGGCATCAAAGGCATCGAAGCTCTTGATGACTTTGCCATGCCTTTGTGTTGAGTGGACAAAAGCATTCTTATCAGTTCGATTGATAACCAATGGTTCTTTTGTTCAAAGAAGCATTTTTCTTATTATATAGATCTTCATCTTCTTAGTAATTAGTAAAGCAATTAAGGCCACTCATACTAAGGCTACTCTAATGATATCCCTGAATTATGTGAAGAAACCTGAAGAGACGTTAAGTTGATTCAACTTCGAGAGAACTTCGATTCGTTTCCTGACCTTCTGTGGTTCCTTGCCTTCCTCGGGCAGCCCGGCCTGCCCATGCAAAGTCCTGGCCAGCGATTACAAAGTCATTCCGCTCAAACCTAAAGGCCCTTCCTCACTATCCTAACGCTATCCCAATGCACTTATTGTTCGGACTGTTGTTGCCTTGCAGAACTTGTCAACTATGTTGATGAGTATTCCCAAATTCATGTTTCTTTTTTTGCCTTGGATTATATAAGTCAGTTTGATTTGTGCTGGAGTCCTGTGAGCTATCCCAGGCCTCTTTCTCGTTCTTTACTTCTTTTACGCGTGTATTCCAATGTTCATGTTTCTTGTTCTCATAACATCTCAAAATGGACTTTTTGCACGCCAGAAGACTTGAGACATACCTTAAACATCCTTAAACAAAGATAGAGTTACCAAGTTGCGGAAACCCAGGAAAGAACTTGGTCGCTTCCTGTAGGTGCCCGCTCTTGAGTGTTCAGCACACATTCCTTTGTAATCCTCCTTGGAATTTCCTCTGCAAAATCATGGGGGTCTGGGTGTGTCAAGTGCCTAAGTTTTGTACAGCTAACATCTGACTTGTTTAGGGTATGCAGGCCAAGGATGCAATTTTGTAAAGAATTGATCTGAGTTTGGAGGGGTAGGTGAGGTAATTGATTCTGTAGAATCAGAGATGTAGAATCAGAGGCCAAGGGTATGTTGGGAAAATGATTCTGTACAAAGCATGTTGTTTTGCATGTCAAGGATGCAATTTTGTAAACCTGTTTCTTCTCAGAAATGTGTTCGGGGCTGCCCTGGGTCTCTAGATTTCGTAGTAAGTTTCGATGTGTTTCTCGACATTCAGTGTATTGATTCTGTAGTTTTGGTTGGTTTTTGGTTGGTTAGGGGTTTTGATTTTGTAATGAGGTTTGAGACCAGGACATTGATATTGTAAACAGTTGTTTTATCAATCACCCCTGCCACGAGCCGGTATCCCAAGGGGGATCCTTTGTACGTGCCCACAATGAATAATTCCCGAAAGCACAAGCATGAAGCGAACCCCGGTTCCCTACCATCCCCATCTCTTCCTAGCCCACCATTTTTGAGGTCCTTATTCTGGATGATGGAAGCAGATATCTTGCTCATTTGCCAAGCGCTGTGTGCAACTAAGCCTGCTTTTGTCTTTGGGCTGCTGAAACTGTTACTGTAGCTTTCCACTTGTTCATTTCCTTTGCCCAAAGCTTGGCTGGAATCAAACCGAGCAAAACTACCTTGTGATGGTCAAAGGGCACGAAGGCCTCTGGCAGCTAGCTTGAGCAACAGTTGTAAGAATGAGGGGTCTGTGCAAAATTGAGGGAGTTCTAAGGTGTCTCCAGCGGTGGCAGAGCTCTGGTCAGCCTTGCGGCATGCAAAGGCGCGGAAGGAGAGACTGGGAGCAAAATAGAGATGCAGATAGCCTTCCTTCACGAACAGTCGTGAGCGAACAGTCAAGGACTTGTTTTGTTGGAAAGTGTCGGAAAGTGTGTTGAGGTGAATATTTTGGCCGAACGTGCTGGTGGTGTGTCGCAGCTGGCCGTGAGCACCATGATTCTTTTCCTGTACCTCGCCATTGCAGCTTGCTTAGAATTTTTCTCAGCTCTTGCTCACCTTCTATCATTTCTGGATTTGGAGTCGTTTCCAAGCGCAATCGCCAAGGTGTACTCCATGATGCGTCGAATGACAGGTGGCCAAGGCAAAGGGTGGCGAGATGCACGACAAAAAGTCATGGAGGCGCTTCGTGCGAAAGTTATTTGTGCAGTTGGCATGCTGCTAGCATTTATACAACGGTTTATCCTAGGACCTAGATGCATCATACTGCATACCCAGAACTCTTGTGAAAGCGAGGGTGGACAATGTAATGTGCTTTTGTGCTTTTCTAACTCTCTCTTGCTTAATAGATTGGGCTGCACAGCTGCACAGCACCACATTGCCACAAAGCACTCCGGGCAGAAAGTGCGCCTCAAATCTTCACAAGAACACCCAGGCATCCATCTCATAGAGCAGTTGTGTCTGTGCAAAGCTGCCCAGAAGGTGACGTGATCCAAGTGCAGTTCACAGAACACAATTAAAGGATGTTAAAGGTCGTCTAAGAATGTCTAGGATATTGAGTCTAAGATATCGAGACTGGTGAAGGGAGTTGGTCACATATTGTTGGGTCTCAAGCAAAGATCGTGTCAAGACAAAACCTGGTCCACCTGTAGAAAAAGAGACTGAATTTGATCATGTGCTGCAAAAAGTGAGATCCCGTTCGAAAAACATCGCCCTGAAAATTCAGCATTGGCAGCACAAGATGCACAAGATGGGCCTCTCCCGAAATATAATATGGCATTGAGGACATGCACGCATAGAAGTCGCTCCTGGTATCACTGGAGGACAGGCACCAATCAATCAGTGTCAAATCGCCTAGACTCTAGACAGTTCGCACATCAATCTCACCAACACATGACCCCACCAACTTATTCTAAGGCTCCAGAAAGTAGGAAGACAAAAAGGACCCGCTGTCTGCCGGTGAGAAGAAGTTGTAATCATGAGCTGCAGCTCCCCCAGCGAAATGGCCATGCAACAGCTTTTTTGGAGGCCATCGCTAGTAGGTTGGAGGCCATCGCTATTATTAGGTTGGAGGCTATTGCTGGTAGGTTGAGGCCATCGCTAGTAGGTTGGAGGCCATCGCTTACTGTACTATTTTCTATTTTGTATTTGTTCTTATTAATTTCACCTGGAGGCCCAGAAAGTCTCCGGCTCGAATGCCCTGGTGACTCGATTTGACGACATTGCCGGCATTGAGCGGTCAAAACTTCAGGTGGCTTGGAGCTCTCCTCTCAGTTCATGTTGGACATGCACATTCTTTTCTGTCCTTGCATGTGGTTTGACAGGTGAAAGAGGTTGCAGGATGCTGAGCAAAAATGGAAGACCTGGAATCAATGGTGGAATATCAGCCCTGTGTTGAGGTGGAAATGCTTCGATCACCCAGCAGGCTGATAGCTTTTGCTCCAAAGTGAACTTGCACAACTTAAACCCAGACACGTTGCACAGTGGTACAGATCATATTTCCCATCGGCAAGATGTGAGGTATGCAGCTCTTGGAGCAAGTGTACCAAGAGGAGTTTTACTGGTGAAATGCTGAGCAAAACAAAGCACGGGTTACCAGATTGGCAGTTCTACAGTGCGGACACCTTCGAAGCAAACTCGTTGGCCAAAGCGTGATAATGTGGAGTTCAATGGCATTGGCATAGTAATTTGCACTTTTCATTGCCTCTGAAAGATGATTGAGTTAGAAAGTTTGACATGAGCAGCAAAATTAGACCGACAGATTTGAGGCTGGACCTCCCGGCTCTGGCAAAACCTTGCTAGCTCGTGCGTGCGCAGCAGAGGCTTCCACACCCGCTTCAGTTGGGGCAATATGTGCAAGACAATTGGATTCTCCCTAGAGCAATATGTCCTTTGCACTGTCAGCCATTGGGAAGAGGTTTGGCCGGTTCCTCACACAACAGTCTTGGGATCATTGCTCCAAAGACCACGGTTCAACCTAACATATATAGACTCAAACCTGGAAGAATGGATGTGTAGATGTGTGCATACAGGGACTAGAGAACTTGGAGTTGAATGCACAAGACCATATGCCATACCAGGAAAAGCATTACTAAGGCATCAAAGGCTAAGTGGTGCAAGACACATTGAAGGCAGACAATATGTGACATTGTATACTTGCGGCAGGCTGGAGTTGCATTTCTCAATGTTGCAGCCACCGAATTTGTAGTGCCTTGGTTCAAGTAGCATGTTCCAAGAGGTACAAAGAAAAAGGTAAGAAGAAGGAATGAACAAACAAAGAAGAAGAGAAAAGTGATGAGACAGATTACGAAAGATGCATTCACACATGCCTTCAAGTGTGTTTCTTCTTCAAACCAGAAATACATTCATCCACCTCTTGTGCTTCCACTTTCTCAGCATGTACTGTAGTTTCTATCAAAGGAGCTCTTTGTTGGACGTGGAGCTGCGCGTGTTCGACAGGAGGGGTTTCCTGGGTTTGTGCTTAGAAACGATGGTTGGAATCGACAATGTGACTTGTGTATATGGGATTTTTGGATTTGTTTTGAAGTGTCCTGACGACTTTCTTTTTTGTTCCGCCCTTTCTTCTCCTCCCTGCAGCTTTTTGAGCGAGCTCGGAAGATGGCACCGTGCATTGTCTTCATCGACGAGGCACCGATTTGGAGGGGCACGACTTCATGTGGCAGGCAATCTTATTCAGCAAGGCTTTGGTTTCAACGCTTGGCAACACTTGACATTGAACGTCTTGCGTTCAGATTGATGCCCTCCGCGCTCGATCGAATGATCCCCTCAGACTGGGGGGCGGCAATCAGGAGGCTTGACATGAACCGATCGTTGTTGGTCCGTGGCTTTCAACTACTGACAATTTCAAGCATACGTAGACTGGCCGCCATACTGTGCTGCACTTGCAGATCATTTTCCAGTCATTCCTTCCATTTTGTTTCGTTGAAGAAGTGAGAGTTTAGTTTTAAACAGGTTTAATATGTTTAGCTAAGATTCACGTGCCTACATCCGATGCTTCTGCTCCCAGTTTGTCGTTGCTTCTGCAAACATCTTTACTAGAAACATCTCTCCCTGTTTCAACGTGCGTGGAGGCTGAGTCGACCTTGAACCAGCTGTTGACTTGCATGGATGGCCTTGTGACACGCGAATCGGGACGCCCAGTTGTGGTGATTGCGGCCACCAACAGACCTGAGGCCTGCGGGTCTGTTGGCCTGTTGCTTCACAAAGTCCCCAGTCTTTTAAGGACATTCGATGGATTCAAGTAGACTTCACACGTTTTGTTTCGTTCTCTTTAATCGTTCAAGGTAGGGTTATAAATATATATATATATAGGTGTTTGATCTTCTCTGCAGGTTCTGGATGAAGCGCTCCTGCGACCAGGGCGCTTTGATCGAGTGGTTCAGGCAAAGACCTCAGCATGGCCTTGTTCAATGCATATCATGTATTTCTACAACTTCCCTGCTTGATCGAGTATGCTGTTGCTCAATCTGCAAGTTTCTAAGGTTGATCTCCCCGATGCAGAAGGTAGGTTGGACATCCTTAAAGTCCACCTACGATTGAGACAGGCCTTGCAGGGTCAACCAGAGTCGAGCGAGTCACTTTCACACAAAATGTTAACGTTAACCCGAATCTATCATTCCAAGGTGCCGCTTGCAACAGAGGTGAACGAACAGTCCCTCAGTGAGATAGCTGCCAGGCACCAGTTATACAGAGGAAAGATTGGCAAGATGCTTTGAGATCCTGCAAGGTGTGAGGGATTCCCTGGTGCAGCCTTGGAAGCCATGGTGAACGAGGAAGGGATTGTCCAGACTGAAGAGACCAACACAGATGAGAAGCAACGTAAAACATGTTTATCATTTCTCATACCTGAAAAGCAATTTGAGGCCGCCATTCGTGCTGCCCGTCGCAACTCCTCCACAGTGGCCGCCTCGTATTTTAACATGTGTGAATTGCGAATCTCCGTCATGTACTGACTTTGAAGTAGGTGGGTCTCAATGACTTTGAAGTCGCAGTGACAGACTTCATGCAATCTCGAGAATCAACAAGGCAAGAGCCCTGTACAACAGAGAGAACTTACACGAATATGCACAACATCATCATCAATGATGAGAGCTGACGTGTCACAAGTGCACTGTTTGTGAGATGTAGGTCTAAATTTCCATTCAAGCTGTGATGGCGCTCTGACGGCACATCAGCTGAAGGAGTAGCATGCCAGTCCAAGGTGGACCGCGCCAGCGCTCCGCGGAAGTCAATTTTGACCTTGGAACTGAAGATAAGCTGACCCAACCCAACTTACCTCAATTGCTTCATTATTTGTAGGATGTGAAGGGAGAATACAGCATGTACCTGTCTCACTTAACTTTGTTTTCACAACTCTTGTCCGTTAACAACTTTTGGCACATGTTTGTTTACTTTGAAAGCCTGTGAGAGAGAGAGAGAGAGAGAGCACAGGCTTAGATTCGGTTAGACCTACAGGCTGCTGCAGGCTAAAGCTGCCTGCGCTGCCTGGTCAACCTCGGATTTCACCAAAACGGATTTTGAGCCCGATTCTTCAAGACCGAGAGGACGACAAAAGACCGGGTAGGTAAGGCTGCTTTGGTAGGTAAGGAAAGCTAGCAGTAAGCTTGCGTAGCTAGCTTGCTAGTTTGGGATGCAGAAGTGCAAGGATTCTTCAAGAAAGCTCCCACACCAGAGTCTGCCAGAGGGCTGGGGGAGCTTTTTTGAAGAACCTTTCTGATGGCCAATTTGATTAGGTTAAGCTCACTTCAGGTTCTGCAGCTTGCTTTTGCCAGGCTCTGTTGTACATTTTAAACTTAAAGTCAACTTGAGTCTGATAAACCCAGCATATGATTGAAAGCCCTGCCCAGCACCAAAACCTCACAAAACCACACGAGAGTATACCGCGTCAATTGCTCGGCTTCTAATTTGTGGAACCCTGGAACACCAACACTAACAAAACACAAAGCCACTGCTGCTTAAATGAGATACTGCACTCCCTCGGCCTGCGCCCGGCTGTCTTGATTCTGTGGAATCTTCCAGGCTGCTTCGTACGCTTGATGCAGCTGTTTTTCATTCTTTTTTGATTCGCCGAGCCTTTGGGCCACAGGATGCCTCCAAAGTTGCTACGCTCAAAGACCATTGAACAGCAGTATCAGAAGCTCTCGCAGTTGGAGCATATCCTTCTCAGGCACTTTTTGAGCTGTCTTGAAGGATTTGCTGAGCATGTGGCAGAAGAAGCTCAAACAGTGCCAGACCGGATTCATATGTCGGGTCGGTGGAGTTCCAGAAGGAATGGCAGTGGGCTTTGCACTCAGTTGCTGTTGTAATGTTAGTCCGAAGTATGGAGCATTGCTTGTTGACAGTAAAGGAGGCGCTGGAAGCACAATGTGTTCACCATGTGCTTGGAATATATACATGTCCGGCCTTGCAGCGCAAAAAGAAGCATGGTAAAGATGCGCTTATGTAGAAGGCAGAAGATGGTTCTAGAGCTTGCAATGAAGCTTGAGTAGTTTGCAGGCATTGCAGGCTCAAGACCTGTCCTTCTCCTTAGGAGAAGCAGGTCATGAAGAAATCATGCCTGATCCTTTGCAAGAACGACAATGTTGTCCATGCCCCCGGAGACGAGTCGCAGTTGCGAATAGCCAGAATCTAAGACATGTGGCGGCGGAGTGATTTTTTTCAGTTACCATCAGTCACCAAGTCGGACCAAAAGCTGTTTCGAGTCCACTCTGACCAGCCAAGATTTCCAAGGCACCAGCGAGACGACGGACGAAGTGGTCAGGATTCCTTCCACATCAACTTTTCAGACGAGCCCTTCCAGTTCCTACAACAAGGACTGCATCCAGTAAACCACCGGGCTGCAGTTCTGATATATTGGTAGGGGCTCCTGGCATCGCTACTAGGAGCAAGGAAGCTACTAGGGGCTCCTGGCCTTACTACTAGGAGCAAGAATTTATTAGAACCAAGAAAGAAAAAACATATATTAGAATAAAAGTAGAAATTTGCTTGTTGCATCAGCTTTTGGAACCTTGGCAGATAAGACTGCCCCAAGCTTCATATTGCTCGCTTGGGGAGCTGCAAGTGCAGGCTTTGTAGCTGGCAAAGTAGTGATTTTGTGTGGGCGAAGCTGTTTTGGATGTGTTTGCTGAAGGCTGTTGTGCACTTGAATGGTCTTGAATGCCCTGCGCAAGAGGCAAAGCAATGTGCCCTAATCGGGACAATTCGGGAGACACGCGAATGGACGAATTGATTCAGTCCCCATCTCTCATCCCAGCCTCACAAAATCTTGTAAATATCAGCAAGCCGTACATGCCTACAAAGTTGCACATCACTGGATTTGTTCCTGGCCCTGTGTTATACCTTCCTCGGGGTAATTAGTTGTTTGTCATGGATTTGCTATATACTCCTTGCAAACAGTTTTAAGAGGCCTCAGTGCGAGCGGTGTCAATAATGTTGCAGCGTTGCATACAAAACGCAAAGTGTTGGAGCACCATGCAACAGGTGTTGAATAAATCGGACGTGGCACCAGGGCTTCTCACAGTTTGCCGCGATCTATCAATCAAGCAGCTACTCGTTCTGTACTGCAAACTGGACACCATAGGAACATCTTGAAACTTGTTGCCTCCTACTGACTTCTGAATCAGCTCATGGGTGATCGGCAGTGGTCACACTGTCACCACATATCACCACCAATGCTTTTTGCAGCCAACCCTTCTGCTTCCCGTGCACAGACTCATTTGGCCTTCAGCAAGCTACCGTTCGATAAAACCGATGTGGAAGAAATGGGGTTCGAATCAACCAGGTTGGAGTGTCATGGGGTGCCGTAACCACTTGTAGATACAGGCACGGCATGGCACGGCCATGTAAATATATGTATATAAATACTACCCAACCTTGCCTCACGAATCCTTGTAAAGAAAAAAGACAATCACTGAACACAGGACATCATCATTTCACCGACTTTAAACATATGTTGGCAAAATCCGTTTCACGCTTTCTTTCCTTTTGTTGCGTGTCCCATAGAAGGGTTAGAGGAGGAGGCTCAGTAAAAGATCAATGATTCATGTATATTCATGTCAATGATCAAACATAACTGTATATAATTACAGATTACATATAGCTTCATTTTCAGCGATGAGACCAGCCCAACTTCTTTTCAGTATGTTGGCTAAATGTAGAGATTCTGCCGTCAGCACGCTTGTACAAATACGATTCTTCTTGGTAGTAGTGGGTAGCCGAACAGTCTGAAAGAATATCCGGTGTCCTCCATCTCGTGCTTGCCAGTGCTGTTGTTCGCCGAATGAATGAACTGGCTGGCTCGCAGATATTCGATGATATTCGGGCTGCAACTGCTTTCAAAGTTTGTATTGAACGCGATTGCAGGACATTGGGAGATTTGGGAGATCTGCTGAGGAGTCCGATGATGAAGAGGAGGAACAGATGGATCACACGGGAAGTATGTTTGTGATGCTGGAGCGCAACAGATTTCGCAAGGCTCTTGACTGTGCTGTGTGAGTTTGATACGTCGCCGAATCTCCCATTTGCTGCTGGAGTGATTTCAGTGGTGAAATCAGTTGCAGGTCTGGACAGGCATAGTGACGGTGCTGCTGATGTACATAGGAACCTGGTTCCTATTCCAGCTCACCTTTATAGACTTGCACAAGCCGGACCCAATGCAGGCATTTGTTCAGCAACATGTGGGGAGTAGTTCTCAACGATTTTCCCCATGTAGTTTGCCTCTCCAGGAGCGCATGCTATATACTTGTCCTGACTTGCCGTTCTTGCAAACACACATTGATTGACAACTCACTATGGGGATCAAAGTGTAACAAGATACTTTCAGCTTTACACGAATTATGTATATGGTGTGGTTATATATATATAGAAGTGCAGGACACATCAAACAGTGCACACGAAAACTGCACGGAAATAGCGTCATTTGGAGGTGGCGGACTTTTTGGGAATGAATCCTGATGTTTGGGAGGCTGGACATTTCACGTAAACAGTTTTCATTGTAAGGATTTGCATCGTTGCCTTGATGTCATGGCTTGTTGCATTGACAGGTATGGTCAAGATTTGTGGATGGCCTATTCATTTTCGACTCTTTTATTTATTTCTTCTTCAGCTTCAAAGACGAGAAGGGGCGAGAGGCGTGATTAGATTTGAATAGATTTGATGGAGGGTAATAGGTGAGGTGGTTTGCGACAATGTATACATGTGATTCTAGTGGCTCCCAGAGTTTGATTGTCATTTTTGAGAAAGCCTGACTGGTACAACTTGTTACCTCAGTTGACGACAGGACGTGTTTCACAAACAGGCAAGCCCGTCCAATAACCTGATAATGTCCTGGGGGCTCCTTGAAACTATGGCCATCAAAGCTCATGATGCGCAGGTTGATTGCTGGCCTCAGATTGCCAGACGGTATGCATGTGGAAGCTTCATCATTAACATCATCGCTTCTCTTCCAGACGAGGTTTCTTGCAGTGCAGGGATAATTGCAACTATACATATGATAATTTGACGTTAACTAGGTTGCTTCATTTTACATCAACCTACAGTATGGCTTTGTAGCAAGTTTCTTCGTTGGACTATTTTGGCTGCTCTACAGGCTGAATACATAGTATAAACAATATATATATATACATACTATATGTAATATGTATATAATAGATATAAAATGTATATAATAAGGTACAATATATAAAACATATGTATATACACACCATATGATACTATATATATGCTTTACATACATATATACATCCTTACATCCAGCATCCATTCATCCCTGCATCCATGCATGCATGCACGCATACAATACAATGCAATGCAAACAATACATCTAATTTATACAATACATACAATACATACAATACATAGGAACATACATACATACATACACACACATACATTATGTTGCATTACAATACAATACAGTCAATGCGTACTATACATGCAATGCATCCAATACACATAATACTTGCGTACAATTCATACATACAATATACAATCAATACAATACAATACAATGCCAATACCAATGCCCATACCCATATCCACGACATACATGTATATATATATACATACACGTACATACATTTATATGCAGAAACATATACAGATACATATACAGATACATATACACGTACATATACACATACATACTTGTATGCATACACACATACATATACACATACATATATGCATACATGTATGCAGGCATTCATGCATACACCTTTTCAGAGTTTGATATGGTTTGAGTTCAACGAACCGAAGCACACGAGATCAGTTTGATCCCTCGCATCTTGCAAGATTGACACTCGGGATTCTTCAGGCCAAAGCGGGCAAAGTCAAAGTGGAATGAGTAAATTTTCCAGAAACCACCTACAAAATCATGTTCAACGTCTTTATGTTTCAATTTTCAATCTTTGCATTTAATTTTGTTGCTCAACTCCTCGAGCGTACGAAGTGCATGCCATCTTTTACCTAGTAGCCTTTTGGGGGTTTCAACGCATCGTTCCCCTGAACTACCCTCTTAAAGATTCTCGGAACTATCTTTCAAGGCGGCTGCGGAGTTGCTGAAGGGCCTAAGTGGAGATGGTCCGAAGCTCATCCATGACGGCACGAAGGGCGCATTGCATATCTTTGCATTCCCTGTCGCGTTCCACTTTTTCCTCATTTTCCTTTGCAAGGTGCGTCTGATACCAGTGCGCACCAGGCAGCAAGGCCTCGAAAATTGCTGTGGAAAACGCATTGCACACAAACACAATTTGCCGCCCATTGAGTTGTCCAATCCGCCCGTTTATATTACTTGTTCGGCATTTTCAGGACCATGCGTTTGCAGCGGGCATCTCGACTATTTCGACTTGCTCGCATAGGGCGTCTGGCCAAACTCACCGCAATGAAGAAGACTCGTGGCTTCACTAGTGAGAGCGCGATGCTGGACTCCATTTTCTGCTCCCAACTGTCAGAATGTTTTACACATTCAGGGGAATTCCAAACTTCAATTTTGTGTGGGTGAGACAAGCAAGATGGGCAAGGGCGAAACCTGGTGAACGATGCGAGGAAGCACCGAACCGCCACAAAGCATCGGTCACAAAACAGCCAAAAAAAGAGAACACCTTAATATCCTTAATCAGTGGGGGGCCGAAAGTGGCCGGCAGCATGCTCCATCCTTCGGAAGTAACGCACATATCCCTCCCAATCCTGTGCTGTGGGAACATAGATATGTGATGTGCTGCTGCTGCAACAGCAACAGATGTACTTTAAGCATCTCTAAGCCAGCTGCCTTGGGGAGTACAT